ACTAAGGTTAATACTGAGCAACTAGTGAAGAGTTTTTAATGTTTTCATCTGAAAGCAGCTCCCTGCTGTGACTGAAAGAAACTCCATGAGACTGAAACTTAGCAGAAAAGTTGTAAAGCTCCCTAAACCTCAGAGGAGCAGTTGACTGAAGCACGTCTTCATTTTCACAGTGGGCAGCCTCATTCACATTGTCATCTGATCGATTATTAACCAGAGCTGCAAAGAGCTCCCTGGATTGCTTTTGTGTGCATAGAGAGAAATGAATACACACACAAACATACATGCAGTGCTGCCATTAATATAAACAGGCTCCTGTACTGTACACAGCAGCTAAATTAGCCCTGTCTCTTCATTGATCTCTTCACTGTAACGGACAAAGAGCTGTCAGCTGATGTTGAAGGACCTGTCTAAGAGGCCGACGGGGAATCGGTGTGAGATACCTGCAGCCCAGACTAATCTCTGATATCTGACAAGCATTTTCAGGGATGCTCCAGAGCACTGCTGAGAGATGCACCATAAAATAAAAAATAAGAAGAGGAAGAGGGGGTTTCGGACACTTAAAGAGGCGGCGGTGGTGATGTACTCTCTACTGCGTGTGTGCGTTCCACAAGCATTACAGTCAGACTTAGCAAATAGACAGGATGTGCGTGCAGGAGGCTGGAGGTGGTGATGGAGGCAGACTCTTCCTGCTGTCAGTCTCTGTCTGGCTTTGGCATGTTTACACCCCCCATAGGGGTAAAAAGCTCAGACAGAAACACACACACACACACCTGCACAGCTATTGGCTTGCACAAACACACGTATCCCCCACCTTACACGTTGTGCCTTCACATCCGCCCTCGCACAGCCGTGCGGAGATAATTGCAAACGTTCTGTGATTATAATATTCCTCTTTGGATATAATCATCCTTGTTCAGTGGAAATCACCCTCCAAGAAGATCAAGAATAGACTATATGTGAAATTCACAGCAGACGAATCAGTGTGAGGGAGACAGATTTGAGGGGAAGTGATAAGTGGAGTAAGGGAGACAGGTGGAATGCCCATATGTCCCCACAGCTACCAACTCGGCTCCCTATCCCAGTCCGGCCCTGCTGCTTTCCTCTCCAGCTTGGATGAGGGTCAGAGGGCAGCCTGCCGTCTCTCTCTTCTCAGCATGGACTCTTGACATTGATGCCGGGGGCTCAGACAAAGTGAGATTCTGTATCTCTAATGCTGCATTGAAATTAAATCCTTGCTGTAAAAGATGGTTTGTTTTTTCTTTTAAAATGATTATAAAACGTTTTATCATATAAATCTTGGATACCATCACAAGGTCTCTTATGTTGCCACATATTTACCGTTATTTTAAAGGATATTACATATGGATATAATTGCGAAGCAACCCTCTCCAGCACATCACTGAAATTTGGGTGTTCTTTACTTTCAGTTCCAATTTGCTGTGTGTTTGTCAGTCTTTGTCAGGGGAATGAGATGCCTAGAAGATGTCCATCTATAAACTTGGGTTAGACTAGTCCCTCAAATACTTGGGATTAAACCTAGACTAGTCCCTCAAAT